AAAAAAAAAAAATATATAAAAAATATATAGAAAAATTTATAAAAATATATAAAAAATATTAAAAATATATAAAAATATATAAAAAAATATAACAAATATATAAAAAAAATTAAAAATAAAAAAACAAAAAATATTAAAAAATATATATAAAAAATAAAGAAATATAAAAAAATAAAAAAATTTTAAAAATAGATAGAAAAATATAGAAATATATAAAGAAATATAAAAATAAAAATAAAATATATAATAAATATAAAAAAATTTTCAAAATATAAAAAATATTTAATATCATTAAAAAAATATAAATACAAGTAATTTTTAGCAAAAAAAAAACCGACTTCAACTCTCATATAAAAAAAAAATATATATATATATATCTCATGATCCGCTGATCGGATCTTAACCAGATTAGTATGGGACCACCTCTGAGACACTACCTTTCCGATGCAAAAAGAATTATCGACATCGGTTGACGTGGTCCAAAGTTATGCGGTAACATACATAAAAAAAAAAATAAATAAATATTCCTCCTTTTTTGGAAGCCGGTTAAAAAGTAATAACGCTGTTGTGAACACCCCAAGAGAATCGATTTAGAGGCAGAACGCTCTTATGTGCGGAGTAATATTTTGAGTGGCATGGGAACGTGAGGTAAATATTGAGGCGAAAAAACTGAGTTGTACTAAAGATAAACTTAGTTAAGAAGACGAAAGAGCTGAGTTGCATTAAAGATAAACTTAGCTCCGCACTCTGCCTTAGAATACAATACTCAAAAAAATTAAGGGAGGTTTTTAAAAAAAATCATAAGAAAGCTAAATAAACAGGCTATCTGATCCAAATTGCGGCCTAACTGTGCACATTTTTTTTCACGCCCACGGACCAAAAAAAAATTCCAAAATAATTTGTTTGGGTTATCTGTAAAGATTGCCTGGGAACCTTAGCCCCTAAAACTTTTCAGCCAAGAAATCTGAAAGTTAGAATCTTAAAGCTTTAAAATCTTTTTTTATCAATTTTCTAAAGACCATAATTTTTCACCGAAATACAGCCTTTCGAAAATCGCCGAAAAAATCGCAATTTTTTTGGCTGCCTTAATTTCAATCAAATAAATTTTTTGGACCCCCACTTGCAACTGTTACTTGCCACTTTTCGTGCGGTCCCGCGCTTCCGCAGTAAATCTATTATTTACATTTATGGTTCCTGATTAACTATAATATTTATTGGTGATCACTTCTTCAATAAATTAGAATAGAGAAAAAAGTCATCTGACTTCCAACTAAGTAAGAGATAACTGTCAAATGCGAAACTGAGAGTGAGTGCAAAACTGTAACATCTGTCTTAATTTACATTTTTGTCTGCTGGGTTTTTTATTGTTGTTGTATTGACTTCAAATCGGTATGAGAGAGGGAGTAGGGATGTACCAACAAGAATATAAAACAAAAGTATGAAAGTCGTTAGAACTTCGAAATATAGCGATGGCTGAAATAAAAAGCGTTACACCATGTTACAGTCAGTTTTGCTCGTCACTGTATGTTCATATGTATTTAATGAAAGAATGCTTTATTGATTTTTTTTATAATGTCCTTCTCGATACAAGAAAAATGGGAGGAAGCTATCAATTCGTCGGAATATATTTTCATGTATATTACCGGATAATTTCGTTTACATCCGATCATATGATCATATAGAAACTAACAGTACCCCTAAATTTGTATATGAGCAATGAAGTCAGTTGTGTTTTCCTTTAAAAATTACTTGTATTCGGTCGTTTTTTTTTTCTCTGTGTAGTGAAACAAATTTTTAATATATTGACAAAATGTTACATTGCTGCTGTGCGTACCGGCAATTTCGATGCATCTCATAGCTGTCAAAAATTTGCTATCAAGAGCACTTTACTATCAATTTGCACAAGCCCTCATTCATTTTTTTATATTTCAAATTTCTTTCATTTTATCTCTTTACTTTTTCACAGGAGGAACTGTACACATATTGTGGCGACGCGGCAGCCCTACGTTCGGACTTTGTAAATTTATTGATAACCATATTTATATTTTTAATAACGCGCTATTTACGCACTTAAATGTTTGTAAACATATTTTTTTTTTTAACTATCGAGCGGATGTACTTATTGTAAATAAAAATATTTTTAAAACTATAGCTAAAAAAAAAATGAAAAGACCGCGAAAAAATAAGAAGATGAGTAATATTATGTCGTACATCATTTAGCACAATCCTCCTTACTGTATTGACTACATAGAAATGCTCCTAGCGTTCTCTCTTATGTGACATATACCATGTAGACTTAAAACAGAAACGCCAAAAAAAGTACTAGAAAAACAAAAAAAGAATTGAAACAAAAACACTTGTCCCTTGTACTTATGTATTGTATGTACTATTAACATAGGACTAAATATTTGCAACCGAAGTTAACTTCATCTTCTGCTTTCCGACGATAATCAAGTTTTTAACAGACAACCACAAATTTTTTAAGCAATCATTTTCGAAAACCCCGGTACACATACATACATATGTATGCAAAATATTTAAAAAAGAAAAATTACACATACTGACACTCCCACTTAAAATGTACGTATAATAAAATTTACATATGTAGATTTGTATTTTTCCTGCGAATTTTTGTAAACTCTGCAGTAAACTTTTAAAAAAAAAAACGACAAAACAATTCTTTTGAGACAATGTAAACGTATTTGCCAAAACCAAATAAGTAAAATAAAAAAAAAATGTATGTATGTATATTAAAAAGAAAACTATTTGGTTAAATTTTGATAGAATTTTATAAAAGTTATTTACCCCCTAGTCGAATTCGTTGTTTAATTAGGCTTAGCCTTCAAGTTAACAGCAAAATCAAAAAAAAACAAAAACTGGTAAAAGCATATTAGTTCAAAGGAGTAGGTAAATGAGAAGTAAAGCATACGAAGGATAGTTAAGAGAGATAATAAATACTACTTTGTTATCGTTAATTTATAGCCTAAATATGCATACATACATATGTACATATACATAAGTGTGTATCACTACATGCATATGAATGTATTTTTATTTGTTAATGTACAATACTTATTTATGCGTTTTTATAGTAAAAAAATTACTCCTAACAATAATATATAGTTTATGTATAGAGAAATTTGTTTACATTCAAAAAAAAAAAAAAAACATAAAGAAACCTGCCTGTTTGTAACAATATTTTTTACGATACTCGAGGCGCAAAGCAACCTTAAAGGCGGTGAGAATTGTAAAGGAAATTGTGTGTGACACAGGGTTACCAAGAAACTATAAATCAGTTAAGTAGTTTCAGTAAAGTTTTCGTCGGTTTTCTTTATCGACCAAAATGTTTCGCAATGATTATTCATTCTTATTAAATGAAATGTACGCCTGGGCTTTTTATCTAATTTTTAGGTGACTCAAAAATTTTTCAACTCACTAAAAATATTATACCCAACAGTGACGGAGAATTCAGGAAAAATTGTTTCTTTGAATAAACAAATTGACTTGACCTTTCAAATGACCTTCAAGGGTAGGGGGTTTTCAATTTTTTTCTCTTTTTTGAACTGAAAATAGTATGCAGTGAACTTTTTAAAAATATCTAACCACACATTTTTGTTGCTCTTGCGTCAAGGAATCCATTTCCATGGTCGTAGGAACCGAGAAACGGATTTTATTTTTTTTTTTATGTAAAAAAAGGTAAAGAAAAGGACAAACAATCAAAATTTTTTAAGGTAATTTCAAAGGATAAGGTAAATTTTTTATCCAACGAAACTATTTTTCCTTAATTCTCCAACTCAAAAGCATTTAATGCTGTTGAAATTTTTCGCAAGCTGTTCTCGGAGATATTAGAATTATCACGAAAAAAGTTCAATCTCCACACTGTGCGCCCCCGACTACGACATTCTTCGTGTTTTTTCGAGCTGTCTATGTACAAGTTAAAGAACGTATCTGGAAATGTCCCTTAAAATTTGAGTAGTTCCATATTACTTTGATCGCCAGTTCTATTCTGCAATTACTCTCTAGGTTGATGATTCTGTTATGTTATTTTGATGAAGTTCGGTCAGAGGTAATTAATACCATGTTCTGACCGACAACGAAAACACTTTGAAAACGAGTTTTGGGATTGTGGGCTGAAGGCTGCTCACACCGGCTGTTAGTCTTTTCGTTGGCATTTCTTACATCTTTTGATTACAGTTTTGCTACACAAAAACAAAACCAAAATACTTTGCCTTCATTTTTTTTTTTCATTTACAACCTTCTACTTTCATTCTTATTTTATTTTGACCAGCCAATTAACAATAAATCCTAAATGGCATATTAAAGATGCTAAAATATGACTTCCACTTCGATAAATAATCGAAAAAACTAGTGAAGACGCCGATTGGAATGAGTGGAACGTAAGTTTTCATGTAGTTTGCAGCGAAAACTGGTTTTCGTTTGACAAATTTTACATGGACGAAAACAAGTTTTAGGTCGAAAACCAGTTTTAGCAACGAAAACTTGTTTTCGATGTCCGTCAGAACATGGTATAAGACCTGGGGGCTTCATTTTCCGAGATAGTATTACTTTTCCTTTTCATCAACCGGTTCCACCTAACACCTAGCGCATCACACCATATGTAGGTTATTACAAGTCGTTGGCATACCAGTGAAGCTTTTGTGGATCTAGATGTTTGTATCGGCGTGTTTCATCTATAATGTAAAATGCGGGTTATTTACTTTTGAAAACAAATACGACCAGCCCGAAGTTCAATGGATGTCTTTAAAATTTAGTGTCTAAATGCAACTGGCTACCAGGGAATTATTTTTACTACAACCTACAAACTAACATAGCAGCATCACATTTCCGCTGCAATTCTCAACCAAGTTACGCACAAATTTACATGAAAGGCTAATAAAAATGTTTTCTTCCGTCTTTTTTTTTTTTAATCTTTAAACTTAATGAACTTTCTATGGATACTAAGCTTTTGAGAAATTGATAGTACATTTTTTTACTTAATTTTGTAAACTGTATGAATATAACAAGCACTTGTTTCGACCAGAGCCTTATTAAAATGTATGTAAGGCATTAGATTACAAAGGACTGCATAACGCTAAGCGTTATAGGGTTACACTCTCGCAGCAACATGTCGTCCTTCAAAATTTCAATGAAACAACAAAACTAAATCCAAAAACAAAAAACTAACTGAGAAGGGAGAGAATTATGAATTAATTCAACAGATTGCCTTTAAATTTAAATGTAAATTTTAAAAATCGTAATTTATATTTATATGAATTTCTTACGATCATTAAGCGTTGTAAAATGAGAAATATTTATTTAAAAACAAAATAAGTACGTAATTATATTAGAAAGAGAGAGAGAGAGATATAATTAAATAAATTTGCGAAGAAATGAAGATCAAAAAACTTATTTCACCAACACTGTTAACTACTTAGTAATGCAAGTGAGCATAAATACTTGAAATAAAATGTATGCAAAAAATTAAAAAAAAAAAACTTTCTTTTAAAAAAAACAACTTACATATAATGTGTGTATGTAAACAGAAAACATAAATTTGTAAACCAATAATGAGTGCTACTTTATTTTTTAATTTTTAAGCGAAACTAAATGAAATGGAGAATATAATCTGTTGGTTGGCAAAGTTGACAGCAGAAGCCACTATAGGCAGATTAAAACGTTTTTAATTATAAAACAAATAAACACTAATAAAAGAAAACTTGTTTTTTTTTTAATTTTCAAAAAGATTTGCTAGAGAAGTGGGTCAAGCAAGGACGGCAACTGATTGCTATTTATATTTACATTTTTCTCAATTATTTTTCTTTAAAGTAATGATTTTATTTTTAACTTTCGGTCACGGTTGGTTGGAGAAATTTTACGATTCTATGCATTTTTCCTTAAATTCTTTGCTACGAGAAGAGGATTCTGCCTTAGGACTTCAAGCGGTTCACTTACTAAGATTTTGTGGAGGATAACAAAAAAAATACTTTATTTCTTCGTGGGTCTTGCATCTACAACAGTTTGCGTGTTAAAAAGCATTAAAAAAAACGGACACATTTTAACGCGTAGAACATTTTTATTAAATTAAATAAAAAATAAGTTGTAATGCTTAATAAATAGTAACAAAAACCAACAAGAACTGGCAGCTTAATTCGAGGGGAAGAAAAAGCGCCTGAAAGCTATACAAAGTTTATCCAAAATTGTGGTATTTTCTGGAAAACGCAGTCGTAGCACAATTTGCCAAATCACCAAAAAAAGTGTTTGCCTTAAAGATCCAGAAGCACTGGCTTTGTTTCCTTGGCACATTTTAACATTGAGCGCATCATTTTGATAAAGCCTGTATCCTTCGACTTTTCCAAGCCACGTTGCAAGCGATTCTTCATGACTGCTACAAATTCGCGGTTACTCAGTTGGTTGTCGTCTACATTAATGAAATTTAAAGAGAAAATTAGATAAGTAATACATACTTTAAATTGTAATTTCCAGTTTGTACTCACTGTCTTCGTCGAAAATGGTGAAAACCACATCAATTACGTGATCCCTTAGATCCACCATAGCTACAGTTTTGGCAACATGTTTCAGTGTTGCCTGATCAATGGACGCTCCCGCAATGTGATAGAACGTCAAGGCGGTGTCCACATCATTAATATTACTTAGAAAGTGAAAAAAATCTAGGTAATCCGCTTTGGAGATACCCAAAGCATTGTCTTTGAATTTACGCTTGACGCGCTTCAATTTACGCGACTTCTTTTTATGGGAGTATCCAGCATAGGCGACCAAAAGCTCAGCGAAATCAACCTCAGTGATGAGACCCTCGCTATTCGGATGTTTGCGCTCAAATTCGAGCGTTAAAATCTCACGCTGCAGCTGCGTTTGGAAGTGTATAAACTTTTGTATTGTCAACTTTTGATCCAAGTTCGGACCGAAGAAATAGTGGGTTAGAGCGGAGTTAACACCCTGTTAGGCGGGAGAAAATAATATTTTTTTTTTGCTGTTAGAATAACAAAAGTTTTCGCGCCAAATCTAAAAACCGAGTATGTATTTGCTTAGCTGATTTGATTAATGATTTTGGCGATGCAAATATGGTACAAAAGTGACATGACACCAAAGCAAAATGTAAGTTAAGCGAGATTAAAATAAGGAGTGTGATTGTGAGCTTGATACAAAATATCAGACGTAAGCGTGAATAAATATAGACATTGTGAGCGGAAAAGGAATGGTGATTTGCAAAATAATTAAAGAACAGTATACAGTTTGCCTGAGTATATACCTTCATGGGCTTTGTATTTAGTAGGTAGAGGTAAATTAGTTGGTGAATTTTGTGATTAAGACATTTGGTAGTGATGTGGGTGGCATTAGACGGTATTTACAAAAGATATAAGAAAGAGCAAAGATACAGAAAATATATATTTGACATATAGTAGATTCAACAGTAAAAGGCATGGTTGATACGCATGTACATATGTACATATAATCAATAACATAATCGTATGTATCTTCATAAACGAACATGTAGCACACAAACCTAGCAGAAGTATATACATATATAAAACGTAAAGGAATTTAAAATGCTCGAATAAAGTATTAATGCTCAACTTACCTTGAACGTATTGCCTGTGGCCGCATGATCACGATGTCTACTACCAATAGTCGATTGTTGGCGCACCAAATCAGCTACCATTTCAAATTCTTCGCTATCCACATCGCCGTCACCATTCAGATCGAACATTTGAAAGGCGATTTCAAAATGACGACGAGAGGCTGAAATTCGGAAATGAAAATTATTATTAGTAGGGATTTCCGATTGAGAGCAGAACGCTACACTCACTTGAAAGCACAGTCAGCAAGAATATATAGTCGGAGAAAGTAATTAAACCGTATGAGCCCAATTTATAGAATATACTGTCCTTGTCCAAATGCAACTTCAGACACTCAGCCACGTCCTGGCGTGAAAAAAAAAAATATATATATATATATGTGAATATTAGTTAAATCTAATTACAACCGAAACATACAATTCTCAAACATGTCAAAAAATCTTTAACAGCCACGACTTATTTTCTTAATTTCGATTTTCAACAGCAAAGGGAGCAAATTGTAAGGGCGTATAAGCACAAACGCGCGCAGACATGAGTACACGCATTGCATCGTTTTTTTTTTTTGGTAAAAAAAGTGCATTTAGTGTTAAAAGCATTGGATTAGTGCAAAAACATTTAGTTTTTATAAACAGTAGTAGCTTATTTCATTTTTTTCGTTTTTATTTTTTAACAATAATTTTATCACACAAGCCCAATTATACGAGCAGGTCTCTTATACGCGAAAAAAATTGTGCAACATGCAAAAAAATGCTTGTAATTTTTTGTCTAACGGCAAATAAAACTTATTTGTTAAAAGGAGGGGTAGAATTATCATTCATCTGTTCATTCACATATGCTGCAACGAGTATTAAATAATTCGTTTTCTTTTCTTTTATTTAGTAATGTGCTTGTCAAAGGGTTTTTAAAAAAATACCTCGCCTGCAACCTGTATGTAGAGAGCATGTTTTGGGTGTGGTGAGGAGAAAAAAGGAAATTGTGATATTAGAAAGAGGACAGAAATGTAAGGCAGTGTGTTTTCGCAAAATAATGCAGTAAATAATTTTAGAATAGTTTTTATAACATATGGAAGTATCGTGAGTATTTATTATAATTTAGGATTCTCCTATTTTAGATGAAGCGGGGAATATATTGTTTGTAAATAAGGAAAAGATAAATTAGCTTAATTTGATTTTGCTTTCAAGTATTTTCTTTTTTCATTTCATTTAAATTTTATTATTACATTAAATTTTATTTTTTATTTTAATATTATTTTGCTTGCCTTATTGGGTTTTTTTATTTAATTTAAAATTTTTTTGCTTTATTTTTATTTTATTTTGTTTCATAATTTTTTATCTATTCTCTCATTCGTTTTTTTAAACATAATTTATTTTTTGTTTTTTTTTTTTATATGGTAAATTTTCATACCTTAGGATCATAGCGCCGATACTGGTCCAGTCCCAAGCCTAAAAGAAAAATCAGTTATTATTACCAACTCTCAGTTAATGTACTAAAACAAAATTGAGAAATTTTTTCTCACATTATTCAAATTATCCTTAAAAATGTTATCATAATCTCACTTTTAATAATCAACATACCCTCTGGCTGTTTCATGCCTGGCGTCATGCTAGTTAGAAAATCTTGCGGTGTCATAAAAATCTCATAGCGATCATCAGTTGTTGGCACTTGTATAGTGGCAAAGTAACGAAAAACCTTGTCAGGTGTAGAAAATTGACGTATACGATTTTCGTATTCGATAATCTAGCCAGACATGAAATGAGGAATATTATTTATGCCCGCAAAAGTTAGCACATTTATCAATTTGGAACTTCAGGGAAAGGATTATCAAAGTATAGAGCACAGAAAAAAAGCAAGAAATAGTCGGAAACAAGTATTTACAACAAATTTAGAAATCAAAAAAACGAGTGCGGTGCACAATAAAATAAACAAAATGTACGTCTTACAGAGGTTCGAATATTTTAAGTTTTCCTGCATTATTTACGCCTAGCTACCGCATTATATCAAACATAATTGTTCATTCAACGCTTTTGGAAACATACCCTCTGGCTGTATAAGACCAGGATAAATTGAACGCAGAAAGTCATCAGGAGTCATGCACACTTCCGAAACTGTAGGTGTGGTAAGACGCACTGTGGCGAAATAGCGAAAGATTTTGTCCGGTGTTGAATAGGCACGTAGACGGTTTTCATATTCGATAATCTTCATTTTAGGTCAGGGTTTTCCAATCAGTTTATTTTTTTTTTGTTTTTGTGTATTCATGTCGTGCACATGTATGGTGATTTTCATGGACATAAATTGTGCATGTATGGTAATTTTATGGATAACAAAAAGGTTCATAACAATTCAAACACAGGTACATAGGTAACATGAAAATAAAAGAAAAGTAATAAAAATTAATCAGAGAAATTAGGGAAAAGTCTGCAAAGAAAATACATAGTAATAAAATAAGAATACTACTGTTAAAATGATTGCGGCAGGTGCTAGAAGAGAAAACAATTCTTTCAACAACTACAATAGTGAATATATTTACAACGTAATTCAAAGAAAAATAAAAAGTATGTATAAAGTGTTCAATCTTCTTACCAAGGCGCCTTGCTTCTTACCTTCCTTTCGCGGAAACCCATTTTATCTTTCTGCTCACGCTTTGGCTTAGCCAAATCAGGTTCGGAGCATTTACTGGACACTTTATCGTTATCCCAGTTTTCTTCTGGGGTTTCTTTAGTAGGAATATCTTTTTCTTTAGGTGCATCTGCGTCTACTTTGGGCATGATAGCACGCTTTATTCTAAAAGTTTAGAGAATTATACATAATTGTCAGTTAAAGTCTAAATCTCATATATGTAGGTGGTTATACATACTTCTTCCAGTCCAAAATCGTTATAATAAATAAAGTGCTAACAAAGGCGTGGAAGTATTTTGTTAGCCGAGGAGTTGGCTCTTCTTTGTGGCCAAACTTTTTATAGCACCGCACTCCGCACGCATTATTGGACGCAACTGGAAGCGTTGGCTGGACTAACAGTCCGCTGCACTGGCCACCACCAAGCAAAAGAGGTTTCAGCAGAAGTTGCTGTACTGTATTTCGCCTCCCCAAAGCGGCTCCACATTGACGCAGCAAGGACATGGTACGTACCTTAATAGAACGAAAGGAATTTTAATTTATTTATTTCGCATTTATAAAAAGTTTTGTGCTCGCACTTTTGTTCACTATAATGGAATTTATTTGATATATTGACTTTTTGGCACAATTTAATTATTTTCGCTTCCAGAAGATAGTATTTGCACAAACTCTGCTTCTGCCAGAATATGCCATTAACAATGAACTTATCAGCTGCTTGAAATTAGTGATGAAGAAAAAAGTTTCTGTAACCGGATAATATTTAACCACATTTGCTGTGGTATCCAGGGGTGTCGCTACCTCAGGCTCATGATCCAATTACACAAGATCTGACATGATGAAGCAAAAGAAACATGCAATTTTCTGGCATTCCCACGACAGCCGGTTCTACGTACCGGAATGACTCGGGTTTTACCCGACCAAGGGCTGTTGTTTCGGCGATCCAGCCCCGTTTAGGCCGGCGAAATCCATCAAACGTTGCTCGATTCTCCGTACTCTTCTGCTCAGGGCTGGCATAGAGTCAAACCCAGGGCCAGATATCTACACCTGCTGCGTATGCTAGAGACGACTGCATACAAACTCCACCTCGGTCAGGTGCAATGCCTGTGACGGGTGGAGTCACCTCCGTAACTGCTCGGGCCTACGTACGCACCGGTAATGGACCACGTCGTTCGTGGTCCCATGCAGTGCGAACCGGACCGCCTCTATGGCAAACCACCACCCGCCTGGGCAGAACACAATCAACACACCCACACTCTAATACAACACAACAATAGACACGCAAACAAACACAATAGCACCCACACACCGCCGCCGGCAACTCCTAGTCCCTCCGACAATCTGCTCTGTTTGTTAGTCCAGAATATACCGTAACGTGACATCAGTCAAGTGCCACTCTTTCCTCGACTAGTGCCACTTTAGGGCGTGCTCAGGACTTCGCAACAAGCGAGATTGGACGAGTGACTATGTCGGCACCGCGACGCCGCCAACCACCACCACAAGGCATCACAACGCGCACCACAATCTTTGGCACTCAAGCTTTTCAAATGATCGTAGGGGAATACATCTGGCTGAGCAGATAGACGATTCGACATCCTGCACAATGAACGACGACGCACCCACCAGGATTATGGGCAGCTGCTGCAGCTCGCCAGATCTAACAATTGTCAGCTGGTCTGATAAACAGCGTATCATGGCGACCTATGCGGACCCTAGCATCAGACGATCTGCCCATAGTCATCTCGATTGATAAACCTGCCGACTTTGCTTCCGTGGATCACCGGACTTATGTCAACTTTTCCAAAGCTGACTGGAAAGGCTTCACGGATGTTACTGAGGGCGCCTTCACTGCACTACCCATACCAACCGACGTTCATGTAGGTGA